AGGTTAGAATAAAGGTGTTAAACCCAACTGGAATGTTTCGAACAACATATCTCCCTCATATGAAACTCTTTGAAGTTGATCTTGATGTCCATGAATCATGTTCTAAGTCTAATTTCACATGAATCAAGTTTCACTTCAAAAAGATTTGTGATTTAAGAAATATTACAGAAATACCGAACATATGTTAGAGCTGAATGAAGAACAAAGCATTACAGAGTATGTGTTTACTCGATGATGAACTCGATAAGTGTCTACTCGAGTTGTTGTTCGATTAATGCCCATAGAACTCATCTCTGAAGCTTATTTTCAATGTTTATATGAAGGTTGACTAATATATGATGATATAACTTCCAGCTTGTGTATTTTAGCTTCCAATATCAAATCTATGAATTTGAATCTTGATATTTCCATTTGATCTTGCAAGTTCTTCTTTTCTCAATCTCTCTTCTTCTTCCTCTTGATCATTTTCCATAACTCAAAGTTCAACATAATAACTCCTTTCTTTTCTTCAAGAAACTACACAAGATATTAAATACAATAGTTAATCAAAGTATGAGATAAATAATTTATGCAAACTTTTTGCTCTATTATTTGACATCATCAAAACTAATCATATCTAACAAAGTTGCATAACAAAAGTTGAGTTGCACATAAGAAATATTGTTTGCACAAAACATTATTTGGATACAAATGACTAGCTAATTTGTACATAAGAAAGATAACTTATACATACATAAGGAAAAATAGATTACACACAAGAAAAGTTCAGCTACATAAAGAGAAGATGTAATACAAAAAAAAGATAGATGCATATAAAGAAAGTTAAGTTGCACATGAGAAAAGTTAGGTTGTACAAAGTCTTAAGGTGTCATTTAATTGTCAATTAATTTCTCAATGAAAGATTTATCACCATTTTTTCTAATTTTTATAGTATTCTCCCTAGTTTCAAATATAAGAGTTAGATCAGTAATTTGGATATATTAAAAAAATTGGTTAAGTGAGGTATTTATTAAAAAAAAGTATATATTGATTTTTTAAAGCATCTTGTTTTTAATAATTTGCATTAGAAACTACTCCTTTAATGCAAATTAAAACTCCTTTCGGATATATAATCGATAAGGAGATTTTAAGAAAAAAATTATAAATTTAAAAAATAAAATAGAGTAAAATCTTGTATAGATGACTAAATTAAAATAAATCCATCTACCAACTCTTAGATTCAAGATAGAAGAGAGGACTATTTATTGAAGGAAAAAGAAATAAATAGGAATACATATTACACCACATCTATTTAATGATCAATCAAGGCATTGCTTGTCATTGTGATTGGTTTCATAATATAATTTATAATCCGTAAGAGCTAATTGAATAGTTTATTTTGATTTTATGGAAGACATCCTTTGTTTATCATGTTTATTATTTTTCTCCCAAATTACCTTATTGATTGTACACATAATAGGATAATTTTCAATATATATAAATTATTAAAAAAATCAAAATGATTATCAATTAGCTAATTTAAAAAAAAACTGTATAAATTAATTGTCTAAATCATACATTTTAGACTAGAAACGGAATGGTTGGCCAAAAAAAAAACTAGAGAAACCGAAAAAGTCATGATGATATTGATTCTTTTTAAGTAATTAATAATATAATTTGGGATGTACAAATATGTAAATGCCATATCTTGATTGAATATTTCTAAGTGTGTGGATATGTGTGTGTGTGTGTGTGTGTCTATATACATGGACAGAAGAAAGGGAATGCATGTGAAGAACTAAGAGAGAAGAAATAAGTTAAGGAAGAAATGCCAGCTTGTTTGCTTTTGTTTTTAGCTGAGCGTCGCGTGGAGATGTCCCTATTTGAGATCAATTCCACTTATGTGACTCCTGGTGCCTCATGGCCCCATTTCTCGATGTTTCCAATTGTTCCCATATAGTTTAATAAATCTAATATCAATTTTAAAAAAAATATGAAATTTTTATGAAAAATATACTGTTCATAAATCATGAGCAGCATAATAGATGTCCCATCTTGCTTCTGATATCATTTGAAATGCTAAAATGAAACATATAAGTGATAATTAAATAATAAATGATCGCATATTAGAGGGAGAATGACTTGCGGGAACATATTATGAGTCCTAAATTGTAAATTGTAGGGCCTCATAAATGAAGTGTGATTTATAAATTCAAGAACCCTCACATCCAATCCATTCCCCAAAACAAAAACAAAAAAAGAAACCCTCCCATGCAATAGGCTATTTTTAAAAATTGGATTCTCTTTTTAAACTAATAAAAATGCTTTCATTGAGACGTCAATATTCACGTAGGGAATTATCTATAGAGAATTTTGACTGATAAGAGATAGAGTGAGATGAGAATTCATGTATACAAGCGAAGTGTGATTTATTTACTTTTTTACTACCTCCTGTTCTTAATACAAAGATAAATAATTAATTTGAAGATATTAAGAAAATTAATTAAAATAGTTATTTGTCATAAAAAAATATTAATATTTCTAAACTACCCTCTTTAATCATATATACTTGATCATTAGAATTATCTATTGGTGAGAATCTCTTGCAATTAATGGTGATATTTTCAGGAAAAAAATAAAAGACAAAGTGACTAGATTGAAGTCTTATATTTAAGATCAAATTTAACCATTAAATAACTCTTATATTAAGAATTTCGCATATTATACAGATATTTTACATCTCGTTTTTCAAAATTGGCACAAACTTTATTATCCATGTTTTACGCATCCGAACTGATCCATTATTTATATTTTGTTTTCATACAAGTGACTGTTGATATTTCATGAAATCCTTATCATATGAGGTAACATCTCACATGGTATGGACAAAATTATACATTTTCCTTTAAATCATGGGAAATGGAACACTGTTCCTCCTTCATGCACCTAACGAGGCCCCCACCTTTCAAATGTTTCTGTCACTCTCTTTCTTCTCATGTCAAATATTTTTCAATCCATGAGCCAACTCAACTTTTAGTGAACTTTACTTGTTTTACTAAATCTCTTCTAGCTACTAAATATATTCATGAATCTCTCTTTTTTTTTTGTCACTTTTAATATTGGCTTCCCTTTTTTATTTTTCTCTAGATACAAAGAACAAATTAAATTGACTTAGTATTTATGGTCAAAAGACTTATGATGGTATTTCTGCATGTTTTACCCCCAAAAAAAAAACTAGTTATCTGAATGTTTTTTTGCTCGAAAATTTACTCTTTATAAAACAAAAAAATTACAATAAGTCCATCACAAGGTACAAAAGACTAAGACCCAAACAATATGAAATCCAAACCTGAGAATACACAAGAGAAACAATACAGTGGTCATATACCCTAAACCCTAATAAGTAAACAGGAAACCAGTCACGCCATCACCATTAGAATGGACATAGAAATACTCCAGTAAACAAGCCGAAAATAGTTAAGGCAACTTTGATAAGCACATCGGAAAAAAGAGATGGGGTCATTGAACCACTGATTAGTCCCATCCCATTTAGTGACATAAGTGCTATCCTAAGTCAAAGTAAGCTAGATAACTTTAAAAATATTTAGAATGATATTCATAAAATACTCATATCACTAACATAATTAAGTCCACTGGATATGAATAAAGTTTTTACCAATTTATATTGCATGTCACTTGTTGCGCATTAGCCTGTTCGATATAAAAGCTAGCTAGAGAATTAAATTTTAGCCATAAATATAAGAAATTAATCCATTTTGTCTTTTATATATAATCTAATATTACATATGATAAGTAATTTAGGACTTCGTTTGCTATAGTTATCTAATTGATTTAAGTTTTTAATTTATTTAAATTAATTAAGTGGGTATTATATTAACAACGTTAAGAAATAGTGATTAAAAAAATCAAACAGTAGATTACTGGTTGAGTAATAGTGTAGCCAGCTAAATGTACCGACCCAGCATTTGATTCATAAAGTAATTAATAAGAATAAGATTAAAAGGAATAAGTTGAGACTAAGACGTGGGAGCTTCATTCTTAATTGTTAGGACAAATGTGTGTGTGTGTGTGTGTAAGTTATACTTAAGAATAATTAACTATTAATTATTAATTAAAAAGTTCATTATCTGAAATTCCCTCTCATCAGAAGATGCCAAAATGCCTGTCTACTAGAGTTTGACTAATTATCATTCATGAATATTAATATTTGGCATATATATATTCCTCTAATAATTTCAAGTTGGTTCTAATATACTTAATTATTAATTAACAAAATTAATTATAACCTTAAAGTGGTACTACGACACACTGTTCAACTAACAGATTAAGTTAGAATAATTCTGTCATGAACCAAACATTAATTTTCATCTTTCTTTATTTTCCACCTAATCGATTACATGTGTAGAGACATATGTGCCTAACACGCATATGTCTGTTCCGCTTAAAATCTCACAAGTAAAAAATTTGGGCACTAATATTGGACCTAACATTCAAAATTACATGACATATTTATTAGAAAAAAAACTTACAATTCGTCATTTATTCTCACAGATATATATATATCATATTGTTTACTATCTATATATGAAATTGGTTTAAGATATATAGTGGATATTCATTATATCAATTTTTTTAAAAAAAAATAGAAGGGCAAATGCTAATTGCTTGAGATTACAAGCAAAATAAAACCGGCATCCTTGGACCTATATAGGAGCTCTCGTGCCATTAATGGTTACACGGTCATTTCTTTCATATAAAATTTTAATACAAAGTTAATATTTTTTGTAATACTAAAATTTTAAAAAGAAAACTCTAAAACCATCGAATCAAAGCATAGATAAGGGGAAAATAAGATAACAATTTTTTTTAAAATTTTTGCCATAGAAAAAATCATATCGTTTAATACAAAGCAACTTTGATTCTTTTCAAAGTTATTATTTCTCCCTTCTTTTATTTTCCATAACAAGCACGAGCAGATCATGTAATGGATCAATCTGAGGAACAAGATAACTTTTTTATATGTCCACAAATTAAAACACCAAAATACATATTTTTGAAAAAAAGAAAAAGAAGAAGCTCATTTGACTCTGTTTTTCAATATATAATATAATTTAACTTGGTTCCTCCAGCTTGGCAGATTATTCCGGCGCCGGCACCAGCTGGAGAACGCAAAACAACTAGTCCTCGGAGATGCTCTCTAAATACGGCCGCCATACACCGGAACGGCTGTGCCGGCGATCCCTACGTGAAGGTTTCTTTTCGCCGGCAGAGACTAATACATCGTCGGCCACTTCTTTCCCATATGATCTGTTGCATTGTTGTGAAGAGGAATCATCATCAGCGTCGTCGCCGCTGGCACGCTCCTTGCTCTTCCTAGATGAAGCACTTTTACCACCACTCTGCTTGGTCTTCTCCGGCACCGACGACGACGGTATCAAGAAATAGATGCTGCCTCTCTTGAGCTCAGTCTCCGGCGAGAGGATCAAAATGCAGCGAACAACTCCTTGGGAGGTGGGTTTGCTGAGAACATGATTAGGGTTAGCCTTAAGGATTTGTCCGGCTGTGATAGGACCTGTAATCTCTTCGACATAGCCATTCAAATGAACAATTCGGATCAAATCCAAAGCTCCACAAGGAAGAACACAAGCCAAACAACACCTTAAACTATTGCCCATGTTCTTCTCGATCTTTTAGATCTCTCTGCTGCGCTGGCTTAAGCTCGATCAAGCTTTGAACTTCTATGGATCAGAGACGATTATGATTTGATAATTTTTCTGGGTTGAACTGTGGAAGGGGTTAGAATGGAGGATGAATTGGGTGTATATATAGAAGAAAGTGGGGAACAACCTCTCGTTATTCATGAAGTGACGATGATGATGTGTGGAAGATATAATGACGAAAATGACCTTAAGAGAAAGAGTGATTTCCAATTTCTTTTTTTTTTTTTAAGATTTGGATTTATTGTCACATGGTGGTGGGGTTTTCCTTGTTTAAGTTATTTAACTTCAAGATGACTTGTGGTGCCTTTGAATCTAAATGTGGCTGCTGTGCCAAATTACTTATACAAGTTGGTTATGAATATTTCAATTTTCCTTCCTTAATTTGCTAATTTTCCTTTTCCTCTCATCATATCTTTTTTAAAAAAAGCATTTCCATTTCCGTGTGTGTGTGTGTGTGTGTGTGTGATAAACGTGAGTATTTCATAAGTCTAACAAGACTTGGATTTCAAAATTGTATATATTTCAGCTCAACTATAGATAGAAATGGAAAGAGGTCAATTGTGAGTTTCACTTAATTTTGACAAAATGAGAAAAAAAAATGGTCTCATTTTTAGCTTTCTACTAAAATTGAAATGGATTTTGTTTTAGAAATCAGGAGAATTTTGTATCACATTAATCTTGCAATTATAGATAGTTTCCATCTCAGATAGAGTGTCACAAATTTTGCAAAAGTTTCATCATATAAATTTTGTAACAGAAATACATGAGTTTTCAACTTTAATTTGTTGTAATGTTCATTTCGTTTCTCTATACTTTTATAAGTTTATCCTAAAATTACATTTCATGGGAACCAATTCAATTCTCAGTCTAAGAAGAAAATGAGAGTCCCTGAAACTCATCTTATTTATTTATACTCATTCAATTTTCTTTTCACTCTCTCTTTCTTACAGCACCATTTAGTATACAATAAATTATTTATTCAAATCTTGAACTTAACCAAATAAATGTATGGAGTTAATTATGTGCGGGGTCACCAAGATATATCACCAATAAATTAAGTACTCATGAATAATGATAATGATCCAATAGGCTTATGAACAATTTATCAAACACATTTTGAAATTTTTTTGAAAATTATTCCAATGAAATTCAATTTTTTAAAAAATGTTCTTTTAATTTCGAAAGTTTCCTCTTTTCGGGAAAAAAAAATAGAACCCTGCCGTCTCTATGTCTACGATACGTTTTCTAATACATTGTTAATTTAAATTCCTTTGAATGCACACTATCTACCCCTCTCTCTCTCTCTCTATATATATATATATATATTTTTTTTTTCAAATGTTTTTCTCCTTGTAATTGAAGTCTTAATTTATTATTTTGTATTCTGTGCATTGTCTTATTAAATAAATATTATGTTCTAACAGTATTTATACGTGATTATTATAAACAGAAGAAACAAATCACCATTTCCCATATAAAAGGTTCGGTTGATTATAGATTAACTTTTTATTATGTGGATCCGAAAGCTACCAAGCCAAGGTAAGTGTGAATATTATAAATAAGCATAGCGAAAATTACACATAGGTCCCACACAAGACAATTAATTCATAAAAAGTCCCTAAAAATTCCAAAATAATTCCTAAGTCCCCAGGAACCTGTGTGTAATAAATTAAAATTATGAAATTACCTATTTATCCCATTAATTTTATTGCAGTAATTTATTTACAACCTCAACAGTAGCTGTTAACAACCCGAGGAGAAGTGGTTAACAACCTTGGCAGTACCCCTAACAACTCACTCTGTGGGATACCAGGGGCACTGCCGAGGTTGTTAACCACTTCTCCTCGGGTTGTCAACAGCCACTGTTGAGGTGATAAATGAATGGGGATAGATAGGTAATTTCACAATTACAATTTATTACACACAGGTCTCTCGGGACTTGAGAGTTATTTTGGGATTTCGAGAGACTTTTTGTAAATTAATTATCTTGTGGGGGACCTGAGTGTAATTTTTCCATAAACATATTGGCTCCTCATTGGTAATTTAATATTGTCGATAGCAGAGACAAAATGAGGGGAAACCGAAAAAGAATCACTTCAATTTTTTTTTTTTGAGCAAAAATCACTTCAATTTTATTAATCAATATATAATGCATTACAAACGAGAAAACCACGAAAATATGCTTGTTTTCTTTTGGATTAATATAATTTTTAGTCCTTAAAATTTGAGCTCATGTTAATTTTGATTTCTCAAATTTAATGTCTTAAAATGTTAGTCTCTCAAAATGCAACGAAATCTACTGAAATATTATCAATGACGTTAAAAGTAGTTATATGAACTCATCAGATGGCACTTAACTAGATCTTGTATGGATAATAAAGTGTAATGCAGTGAATATCTCCTGAAACTAACTGCGAGGAAGAAAAACCAAGAGGTAAAGAACCGTATTTTGAGGGCCTTTTCTTTTTTTCCTTTCAATATATCCATACAATATCTAACTAGGTGTCATCCAGTACTATTATCCACATCTATTTTAACTTTGTTTATGAAATTTTAGCAGATTTTAACACTATTATACTTTTAGAGACTAACATTCGAAGACAGCCTAAATTCTAAGGACTAGAATCATGAATTTGAAATTTAAGGAACTAAAACCAAAATAGGCTCACATTTTAGGAGTAAAAAATTATATTAAATTTTTTCTCTGAACAATTTTTTTTTTTTTGTTTACTTCAAAGAAGCTGAACTTGGACAAGTTAGGGGTTGCGATTCGGCATAATTGTTGAGCTTTTTTAGTCTAATTTTTTTCAAAAGAATTTTCAATATCTATAATGAAGAAGTGGCATTGAGGTCAGCCAGTAATTAACAAATAATTATGTAAGGATTAATTTAGAAACTAATAATAAAGATCATGTTTTAACTTTTAAGTACTATCTTTATTGTAGCTTCAAAGGAATTTTGATGGTTGCTTGCCTTATGAACCCTTAATTAATTAATGTGTAGGGAATTTAATTATCTGAATATATCAGTGGCTTATTAATCAGGCGAAGAGAAGCTTTCTAGGCCGTCTAATATGATTCTGTCTGAAATTTTAATTTAGTAATATAATTAATTTTGCATTACTATTACTATTTTGACAATATATAAGTGATAAGGCCTATTCATTGAAATAACTTGTTAAAAAAGAAATATTGAAAACAATTCGTTCATCAAATAATTCTTGATTCAAAGGATGTTTCAAATTTATGTCAATTATAGTAAGTAAATTCTTTTTCAAGACTTGATGAGTTGGAGAGTTAAGTGTGTATTAGATTACAAGTAACCAATTATTTTAAAAACTTTTACATGAAACCAAACACGTTCAAGTTAAGTAAGATTTGCATGCTTTTTTGGGGTTAATATGCAAATTTACTCCAAAAGTTGAGGAGGGAAGAAAATGAAGAACTGACCGACTTGCAAAGCGCGCTTCGTCCTTGCCGCCTGGGACTCATCTCTCCCGTTCTAATGTTAATTTAGTTGCTCTTCTGGTGCTGTAGCTCAATAGTTGTTTTTTTTTTTCCCTCCTTAGCAAAAAAAATATGCAAATTTATTTCAAAAGTTTTCACTGAAGTATTGAGCACCCCAAAAAATTTTTAAATACAGATTTGTCATTAAAATTTAAAATCATAGCCCATACTATTAAAAAAACTAACATTAACTATTAATATTTTTTACAGTAAGAGATGGTATTGTTACGATTTTAAATTTTTTAAACAAATTTGCGCCCAAAAAATTCAGATACCTAGTACTTTTAAGTAAAAACTAGTGGAACAAATTTGTATATTAACCTTTTTTGTTGCCAAAGGATTTATGCATAACTGCTATTAAATTAAAGTCCCATTATTTTCATTTGCACAATCATTGGATATGTCTGGCCCCTGACTTGGTATAATAATTCAAACCATCATCATCTTTGTTGCTGGGTATTAATTTGAATTTTTTATAATTTTAAGGGGGAAATAATTACATATGATATATATATGTAAAAAAATTTATCAATTTCTAAAAAATAAGTCATATATATTTATTTATGAATACGTGTTGAAAAGAATCAAAATTATCAATACCAATATACGAGTATAATATAAAGTATATATTGTTAATCATATTCTATCAGCCTCGTTTATGATTTATTTGTGAACTTTTACACTAACAAAAGGAAAAACATGTTTATTTTTTTATTTTTGCTTTTTTAGCACCCTGTCATTGCAATGGCTGAAACTTATATTTTTGCCTTTTAGTTAATGGTGGGTCTAGACAAACCTGTTTCAAATAATTGAAGAAGATGGAGACTTCCAGGACTCGATATATTTATTACTGAAAATGATTTTTCAAGGGATATATATATATATATTATCACGTTGATTTAGATAATTATAATTTTAACCATATAGTTTATTAATTTTGAAAATTTGAATAGTTGACTAGTTTTTATTATGATTTTTTTATGCAGTACAAGTATTTCCTAATGATCATAACAAAAGTAATTAAATTGTATTGTAATGAAATTATTAAATAAAGGGATCTAATATCGAATGAGTTCTGAGTCAAGTTCTTTTGATCATAAAAATAAAAAATAAGAGTTATGTCTAATCTTGACCTGAAGAATACTTGAATGCATATTAACAAGTGGAATTGAGGAGGTGAAATTGAAGAATCCTTAAATTAATAATCGTAACCTTTCTCAGATCCATTCACTCGTTTTCCTCTTAGAATCTCATCTATACTCTTAAGTCTTCAATAGAATATTTATGTTTCAAATTTAATATTTTATAAAATAATTATTGTAATAGTACATATTAATTAATTAATTAATTAAAACTGTTATAATTTCATCAGCACATTTAAAAAAACAGTATAGAAAAAAGTAAAAAGAGAATCAACTGATAAAATATTATAATAATAGTTTTATCAAATATTGAATTTCTATATTTTTCGATTCAAGAGTGGAAATGGGATTCTAAGAGATAAGGTGAGTGGAAT